CAAAACCAAAAGTACTACTATTATCATTATCATTATCATTCTGATTATCATTATCATTATCATCATTACTTGAATTACTAGGATAAATTTTGGGAGGAATCATTTTTGTATTACCCATAATAATTGGACAAGTTTTCCGCATTGATTTTTTAACTAATTTTATGCTATCTTTTGATTTTTCCATTTGTGATAAATTAGTAAACATTTCCTCATAAGTTCTGGAGGGTTTTGGTGGTGGTAATTGTGATAACTGTGATGGCTGTGATAATTGTGATAATGATGATGATGATGATGATGGTGATGTTTTAATCATTTGTTTATTAGAAATTTGTTTACTATCATATTTTAACATAATAGATTTTTGAATTGAATTTGTTGCTAACTTATTATCTGATGATAAATGTGCTGTATGAAATTGTTGTTTACATGTTAAATTATCATCAATTATAGTTTCATTAATTTGTTGTGATTTAATTGGTGGTCCATCAACTGATGAGCTAAACCACTGTTTTTTTGGTAATTCTCTTCGGCTATTTTTATTTTTGAATGAATGATTATTTTCATTTATATTTAAACCATTTGTAATATTTTTTTCAAATGCTACATTTTTTATCATTGGCCAATCATTTATTGTTGAAGATGCAATTGTTAATCGTCGTCTTGGCTTAATAATTTTTACAATTGATTTTACAGTTGAATTCTTATTTGTATCATTTTTTATTTCTTTTTTTATATTTTCATAATTTCCTTTCTCCCATTTAATATCAATCATTGAATTATTATCATTATTGAATTGATCATTTGATAATAAATGTTTCATTAATTTTGGTTCATTTTCATTCATTGTTCTTTGATGAACATTATTTGTTGCTTTTTGTAATGATGATACAGTGTTATCACCTGCATTATCATTCATCATCTCATTATCACAATAAATAGGTCGTGCTATACATGTTGTCATATTGCTAAATGAATTGAAATTAATTTCAGGTGAAAATTTCGTCATCAGTGCATTATTACTATTAATATTGTTATTATTATCATTCAGTGTTTCATATTTGTATTTCGACTTGATAATATCATTTGAGGAAATTGTTTGTGAATTTTGCCTAAAATTATCAGATAATGTTTTGCATAGATTTTTTGATAATGATGATGGGACAGTTTTTGCTATTCGTGGTAATGATGATGATGATGATAGTGTTGATAATGGTGATGATAATAATGATAATGGTGATGATGATGATGATGATAAGATGGTAGCACCAGTATTATTACATTGATATTCTTCAGAAGTATGCAAATTTTCCGTTTTCAATTGATATTGACGTAAAGGTTTCACAGCTAATGGTAATCGAGTAGTATTGATAGTTGATAAATTATCAGTGATAATAGTATTAGTGGTAGTAGTAGTATTAGTATTAGTAGTAGTACCACATGGACGATATGCATCAGCTTCAGAAATTGCAATATTTTGACTTTTATTTTTTAAAATAGAATTTCGTAAAGTATGCGATGATGAATTTGTCAAACAATGATGATATTTGCTATTAGCATAAGGCTTTAAAATATTTTGCCTTTTTTGATCGGTAATTTCAGATAATTCAGTTTTAAATACTGATTGTTGATTAGGATATGATGAAGTATAGTGATTTAATTTATTTGTCATTATTGTTGTTGTTGTTGTTGACAATTAATCATTAATAGCTATTTGAATGAATAGAACAGCAATCGTTTAAATTTGAATTGAATAAATATAGGTATGACTGTTTAGAAGTGAATATTTTTTCGAAATTAATATCACCAGCTATTAATAAAATAAAAACATATAGAATAGTCATTGAAAAACAAACAAACAAACAAAAAAATAAAACGTAAAAAAAGAAACGTTTGGAAGGAAAAAAAAAAAAAAACATTTGACGTAAATAATAATATTTCAATACTTCAAAAATTTTCAATCATTTTAAAATTTTTACTCAAAATAAGTTATACGAGATTTATACGTTGAAAGTTATATATAAGTTAAACTTTAAAAAAAAAAAATTTAAATGGTTGAAATACGATGACAAATGATTCGAAAAATTTGTTGTATAATAGTTTGAATAATATAATATTAAATTAAATGAGTGAAAACAGTTGTTATTGATTTGTTTGATTTGTAAAAACAAAACGAAAAAAAAAATCTCAATTAAAATAAAATTGTCACTTAAATAAATTGAACAAGTTTTTCAAGATTTTAAATGGATAAAATATTTCGTATTAAAATTTTCTATCTAATCAACGTATCGTAATAGGATAAACAAAAGAATATATTGTACAAAATATTTGTCATTGCTATCTTATTTCTTTCAATAAACGAATATGAATAAGAAATAAAAAAAAAAAGAAAGAATTTCGAACAGAGAAAAAGGAACAAAAACAAATCGGATATATTCGATAAATTGAAATTATCAGTAAGTGATCATTAATTTAAAAAAGAAAGAAAGAAAGAATCGGATATATTCGATAAATTGAAATTATCAGTAAGTGATCATTAATTTAAAAAAGAAAGAAAGAAAGAATCGGATATATTCGATAAATTGAAATTATCAGTAAGTGATCATTAATTTAAAAAAAAAAGAAAGAAAGAATCGGATATATTCGATAAATTGAAATTATCAGTAAGTGATCATTAATTTAAAAAAGAAAGAAAGAAAGAATCGGATATATATATCAAGAATAAGATATACAGAAGAATTAATAATATCAAATATTGTGTAAATAAGAAAGATGAAAAATAAATTGAAACTATAAAATTCTACTTTAGCATAAATTAAATAAATAAATATGTGCAAAGTTGAAAAAAAAAAAAAAAAAAAAAAAAAAACAAAATTTCAATGTTTCAAGAAAAAAAATTAATGTGTGGAATATTTGATGGTTTAAAATAATATAATTACAATTAAAAAATTTGATAAATATTAATAATTTTGAAATAAGCAAAAAATACTAAAATATTTTAAATCATTAAATATTCCACATTTACTTTTCCTTAAATAAAGAAGTGATATAATGAATAATAGCAGAGAAACATTTCTGCTATTTATTTGGAAATTTTAATAAAGTTCTAAAAAAAACAAATAATGAAATAAGTGTTATCAAACTGCTTATCAAATTATGTAATGAAAAGATAAATATAAAATCATATAGTTTTGAAATAAGCCAAGAATATTCAAAAAATTAATTAATCTAATCTAATCTATGAATGGTAAGACAAATAAATTTTGATTAATTAAAAAAATTTTAGTGCAATTTTTGCATCCAGTAGGCTGTTGATAAGGAGAAAGCAAAATTATGATAATTATCAAAAAATATGCATAAAAATTTCGAAGACTAATTTTTTTTTAATGAGCAAAAAAAAAAAAGAAAAATAAATTAAGAAATTTTTGATTAATTTGCTAAATGAGATATAAGAGATGTTAACTCATAAAAGTAATTAGTGATAAGAACTAACTTTTAATTAGTGATAAGGTAATGTGCACTAAACAGTGCTAAATTTCAAAAAGTTGCAATGGAGGTAAAATTTCAACTTTTTTTTTTAAAGGTGAAATTCTTGTGATTCCAATATTACAGTGATATCAATTAGGATATATTAAAGAAAGAAATCTATAAATTAAATTATAATCAAATTAAATTATCAATGAGGAATTTTAAATCATCAACAGTCATGATGAAATTAATTTAAAGTAGTGGATTTAAGTATGCAGATTTATAAAAATAGTATCAATTAATTAACCCACCATTTAAACGGAGAAAGATAGAGAGGGAGAGAAAGAGAGAGAAAATAATTAATAAAAGTAAAAAATTTTTACAAGAAAATAAACAAAAAGGTGAAAAAAGAGTTGCTTAAATAAATAATTATAAAAATTTAATTAATTAACTATTTAAATAAGTAATTATAATAATCAAATTAATTAATAGTCAAATTAGTATATAAATCTATCGCATAAATATCTAACATTAGTAAGATTAATCATTAATTATTATCAACAAAATTATCATATTAGTATGATATCATATAAAATGGCTCATCTAATAGCAATAAATAATTAAAATGAATTAAGTAAGAAGTAGTAATTAAAATGAAAAGCAATGAATATCAGAATGAAAATAGTGAAAGAGTTAGAATGTGAGAAATGATGATCGTTTGTATATATAAAATAGGTTGAAAGAGTTGAAGAAATTGTGAAAATTTTTGTCACTGCCATAAATGTACTAACATTACATTCAGAATTTGAATTAAATCAAAATGACATTCCTTTTCTCTCTCTCTCTCTCTCTCTCTCCCTCTCTCTTTGTTCCTCTCTGGGCTTCTACCCCTCTTCTCCCCACCCGCTGTTTGCGAAAGATAAGATTGAGGCCAAATTAAGTGTAAAAATGATGGTAGAAATTGTTAAAAGTAATGAAATAACATGGATTGAATAATAGAGGAAGAGAATGAATGATACAAATTGAGAACAGCTAATGATAAGATGATAATTTCAACAATCATATAGAAAGAGAGATAAATACATTATCATTTATATTATCACTATATGATATTTTACATCTTATTATGTGCAAATACTATCAAACAGTACTATCGTTAATAAATTAAAATTGGAAAAATTTTTGAGCATTATATAATTTTCTTTCATATCTATTTCATTCTCAATTTATCATAAATTGTGTCATTCGTTAACTTATGTCATCGATAATCTTTATCAATTCTTATCTTTTCCTATCTTTTCTTCTCATTATCTCTATTTGTAACATTCTTCTAATGGTGTATTTGTGATAAATAAAAGTTTTAATTTTTAAATTGAAACAAAATTTAATTTTGTATGCAAATGAATTGAGTAGTTTTATGTGTGAAAGAATTAGATGACATATTTTGAATAAATTAAAATATTCTCTATAATTAGCACTACTTTTCTTTTTTTTTTTTTTAAAGAAAGAAAGAAAGAAATAAAGATTTGGAAAACTTACGGATCAGCTTTAAGAATTTCCAGTTCGTCTTCCTGTTCCATAAGTGACATTTCGGAATCCAAATATGAACCATAATCACCAACGCTACCCTCATACTTGTATATTTGTAATGCCGCGTTATTTGGCTGTAATTATTTAATCTGCTATTATTATTATTATTATAACTAATGATTTAATCTCTATCATTATTATTAGTATTACTATAATTATTTATTATTATTATCATTGTTATTACTATTATTATTGTTATTATTATGATGATCCATCTACCATAATCATTTGTGGCCCAATGATTTAATTTAGTGATTATTATAATTAATTAATTAAAATCATATTAGCTATATTATTATTAATTAATTAATTAATTAAAATAATCAGCAAATTGTTCTCAAAAAAAAGAGGGAAAATATAAATGTATGGGAAAGTATTATTTAACTATCAAAACAACTAATTAAGTCAATTGTAAACAAACTTGAAATACCTCAGCGATTTACCAAATTCTATCGAAATCGAAATATTTTAAGATTTCTTTTTTTTTTTTCTCTATCTTATTAAACCTAAGTTATGTTTATCAAAAAATTTGATAGTCTGTTCTGAAGACAATAACAAAAAACAAAAAAATAAGAAAAAATTTTGATATAAATAGTAATACTTAACTGTAATCCATTCATTCATTCATTTATTAGTATACTTAAAATTGCTTCCAACAATTTATGCAAAATGCAAAAGTTTTCATTTTTGTAATTAATTTATTTTTCTCGCTTATTTTTTAAAAGTAACAATTAGTATATAATAAATAAGTATAATGCTAAAAAAAAAAAATGAAATATTTCCTCAAACAAAAATGGAAAACATATTGACATTAAAAGAATAGTAATAGTTAAAATAATAATAATAAATAATATTAATAAATAATAATAATAATAATAAATAATAATAATAATAGATAAAATAATAATAATAATAATAAATAATATTAAAAAATAATAATAATAAATAATAATAATAATAATAGATAATAATAATAATAATAATAATAATAATAATAATAATAATAATAAATAATATTAATAATAATAATAATAATAATAATAATAATAATAATAATAATAATAAATAATAATAATAAATAATAATAATAATAATAATAATAATGACGAATAATAATAACATACCTTATGTGGCGCATGAAGTATACGAATAACTTCAGGCAATTGTTCACCAATTGGTTGATGAAGCAAAAAGTTGTACATTATAGGACGATTTGGCTCCAGGTGTGAGCATGATGTTGTCGCAAATGGATCCGAATCATTGACATATTGAATACGACAATTAAGTCTATCTACCATAACCATTTGTGATCCAATTAATTTGATAATTTCAGTTTTCAAATAAATAAAAATTATTTGTTCAGCAAATATTCATTAATAAATCACCGTTCCTTTTTGTTTTTCGAAATTAGTTCTCCTATATCAGTCACTAATTGAATATTTCTTTTTCCTTTCAAAAAATTTTACGAAGAATAAATTTTCAAAAATTACAAATGGCGCAAAATGCGCCTAGATCAATTAGCACACAATGGATTAATTCACAAAATATCTGAAATAAAATAATAATGTAAATGATTATAAATATGAAGTGAAAAAACGAAAATCCAAAAGTATAATTATATCAAAAAAGTAAAAAGGAAAAAAAAAATTAAATTTTAACACAATTAAAATTTGGCAATAGTTTGAGAAGTTTAAATATGATACAATCATATGTTCATATCAATATGGAAATGATAATTAGATTTTAGTTATTTTTTTTAATTTGAATAAATCCTAAAAAATCTATGTTACTACAACAATAATCACTGAACTTATTTATCACTCATTAACAATAAATACAGAGATATTATATAAAAGAACAAAAAGTTTTATAAATTAAAAATTTTAAAACTTTTTTTTTTTTTTTTATAAAATTCTTCGAATAGAAAAATCATGATTAACTGCCATTTTAATGAGTGCTAAAATGAATTCCTTAATTTTTTTCTTTAATTTTAGAAAAAAAAGTATTTGTGAAAGTGACGAATAATTAATTTTAAGCTAAATTAGCTAGCAATAATTAATTGTAGATTTATTATCATTTGATAGAAGATAATAACAGGTTGGTATGAATTAAATTAGAGAACTGATAATTTATATGTATTATTGCTATATTACTTCACCATATGCGAAATATTTCACTCTTAAAAACTATTTAGGTCTAAAGAAGAAGGATCGCAAAAATAAAAGCACTGATAAAGTTAAAGTAATTCATCGAAAAAGAAAGTAAATTAACAAAAATTTTATTTTACAAATATTAAAATTCACAACTATTCGTTATTTTTTCCTTAAATTTAGACAAAAATAAAAATTAAAAATTTGCAAAAAAAAAAAAAAAAAAAAAGAAATGAAGCATAGAACATCTGTTGTTCACATATTGTTTGCTAACAAAAAGAAAAAAAAAAAATTAAAATTAGAATTGGAATTTTTATTTAACTGTAGAGCAAATTAATGAAGTTATATTTAAAGCATACATTTTTCAGTTACTTTAAAAAAATGAATCATCACTGATTTTTTTTCTTTCATTTTTTTTTTTTTTTTTGTTTTGGAGATTTGAAAATTACGGATTGGATATAGAATAGTTTTAACAAAGAGAGAGAGAGAGAGAGAGAGGGAGAAAGGGAGAGAGAGAAAAAATATTCTGCTTAAAAATACTGGTCAATTGATGGAACAACAATTATGTCATTAGCAACTAAGGTTACAGTAGCTGATAATTTTTTTTTTTTTTTTCATTACTTATTGATAAAAAGTAAGACGAATGATTAGTTAAACTAAACTTATCGTTTAAATTAATAAATTAACAACTGATAATAAATAAAGAAATGAAATTTGATAAATGAATGTGATAGACATTCTATTTCCTATCATACATATCAATGATAGCATTAATCATTCTTTCATTTTTCTTCCTAAACTCCCATTATCCGCTCGGCGGTGTTAAACACTAAAAATTGGTTGGAATTCCAGCGAAAAATGTCAAGAAAATTCGATAAAAATGACATAAAATATGTTTTCCATAGCAAAATCTGATGGATGCTTCGCTTTTCAAAAAATAAAAAACGAAATTTTTTTTTTAAAATTTGCAGAAAATTTCGATAACTTTTCGAAAGAAATAGATTAATTATTACCTCATTATATCATTGTAATAATATGATGATAACAATGATAATAAATAAATAACAATAATAATAACAAGTAATAATAAGCAATAATAATAATAATCCATATCATCACTATCACCATCATCATCGTCATAATCAACAATATCACAATTGTCATCACTTTTATCAACACCAATCATTATTATTATTACCACTATCACGATCAATCACAATTATTATCGTCATTATCAATCACCATCATCACCAACATCATTATCACTATTATCATTATGAACAACAACGATAGGTTGTAGCAAATGAAATAATTTTGGTTTCTGGAAAAATTATTTTTTTAAAAAAAAAGAATGGAAAGACAGAAAATCGTCAACAACAATTTAAACAAACAATTAAAGTATGTAAGCTATAACATTTCACCTAATATCAGATATTATTAAGAGTTTTCCGAGAGAGCAATGTATTCTTTACTATTTACAATGAAAAGAATTTGATAGAAAAAGAAGAATAAAATTCTTTAAAATTAAACACTTAAAATTAAATAGACATTAAAAGCATTCCGAAATGATTGAATTAAAATAAATTCTATTATTTGGTTGATTGATCAAAAAAAAAAAAAAAAAGACGAAATAATTAAAGTTATTCAATGAAAATAAGCCATTAGACATTCCATACCTATTATTTAGATACTAATAAAACTTTACAGTGTTTGAATTTTAGAATCTAAATTTCAGCATAAATTTTAATCATTATTATTAGTGGAAATTTATTACTATTTAAGCGATGCAAATTTTAGGAAATATGTAAAACTCAAAATAAAAAAAAAATGCATTGTTTATTTTGAATGATAACAGATGAGCTAAATGCTTGATCTTTTAAAAGCTCAATTTAAAATAAAATGTCTCTAGCACTTAAATACAATGTTTACGCTTCTTAATATTTATAATTTAGAGAAAGAGAAAAAAATGAACTTTCTCAGATAAATTTTGCTCGTCATTCTATCACGTAACACGCAAAGACGTGTACGTGTATATTTATGAGTTGTGTTAAATTTTATGCAAAACTAAGATAAATGAAATTTCAATTTTCGAGTAAATTGTTTTCACTAGAATTAAATTTCAAATTGATTTATTTGGAATCATTAAAGGATACTAAAATATCGATTATAGTTACTTATCCTCTTCACCTATTACAAATCCTCCAAAAATGAAGTGATAGTTCAATTTTATTCAAAAAAAAAAAAGACAGTGTAATAAAAATGATTGTAAACGTATGAATTTTATAACTTTAAGTTAAAATCTAAAATTCGAAGTCTTTTTTTTTTATAAGAAAAGTTTAGTCTTTGCTCTGTTACAATATCTATTTGAAAATTTATTAACTTGTATGAAATGGCGCATTTAACTTTTTTAAATTTTAACCACACCAATTAATCAATTGAGAAAATTTAATTGGAAACATTTGAAATGCTTTGTTTTTGGTGGAAAAATTTTCAAAATTTTTAATGTTAAACTATCAGTTAAGTAAATTTAGGCAGTAGTTTTTTTTTTTTTGGAAAAAATTTTAAGAAATCTTTTCTAAATATTTTTTATTTATTTTTCACAAATTTAATCATTATGATAGAAGATGAATAATGTTAACAATATAAAATGAATGAAAAATCTCTGATTAGCCTTAATTTTAGATTAGATATATTTGGCTTGTTAGCTTAGCTAATAATAAAAATTCAACCATAAAAAAAATTCCCTTAAATTAATCGATTTCAAAAAAAAAAAAAAAAAAAAAAAAACAGACATAACATATTTCATCGCATCCATAAATTTAATAATATATAATTTACAAATAAAATGAAAATTTTCTCATTTAAAATTTTAATTTCAACTTATTTCTATTCAAAATTATCAACAAATTTTTTTAAAAAAAAGGATAATAAGTTATTAATGTGTCAAAATATTTCATATATATATATATATTATCATTCAAGATTTAAAGAAAGTAATAATGTAAAAATTAAATTTGAGATAATAAATCATTATAGGATAATTATTTTTAGGAAAGCACAATTTTCTTTTAATTTCTAAAAAAAAAAATGAGATGTATTTTTGATCTTTGAAAATAAGAAAAAAAAAAGAGGAAATTTTGTGATACGACGACAATGCTCAATCAAATAACAAATCATTTTTTTTTTTTTGCTACTTAAAATAAATACCATTTGAAAATGTAAATTGAAAACTGGTTATCTAATTTTTCCTTCTTTTTATTTTTCATTTCTACCTATCCTAAATAAATTAGGATTTGATAGAGTTTAATAATGCGTATAATTTGAGTAAAATTTAATTTAATAAAATTCAATATTAAATTAAAATGTTACATTTAATATTTTAATAAATTTTAATTCAATATTTGATTAGGAATTTATTAAAATCTACTTAATTTGTTTATTTTAGTGACATTTCATTTTCTTTTCTTTTTTTGATTTGTATAAAATATATTCCGAATAGTTCTAAGAAGAAAGAAATTTCTTTTTTCTTTTGCTATTTTTCATTTGTAAATCATTGAAATTGATAATTAAATGACAATTTAAATGTTAAGCTATTCCATAATTCTAATATGAATTATAAAAAATTAGGAATGAATAAATTTACAGTGTAATTTAAAAGTGTGAAAGAATGAAAAAAGAAATTATTATTTAATGAGAATAAATTTAATTTATAGATATGAAAAGAAATTTTTCAACAATTTTGTTTTTTTTTTTAAAATTATAACTTCTGCTTTAAAAAGTCAAAAAAAAAAAATTAACACTTTATTTCTCGCACCTTTAATTGCTTACTATTTTCTTTTTTCAACTCATAATTATATAATTAAATGAATTAACGGATAAAATTAAAATTTTCTTAAAAAAAAATTGGACCTTTCGAGTAATTTGTAAATGCTTATTAGCTATAATCTATAATAGTTATTTATTTTAATTTTTTTTTGAGTTTGACTAAACCACTATATAATACTATAGCAAATGACAAATAATAATTCATACATTCCGGATAATATTCCGGAATTTATAAGCAATTGTTAATTTTGAATGTTTAATTGATTGATAAAAAAAAAATCTATATTTTGTTAAATTTGCTAAACTACAAAAAAAATGATTTTTGTTTT